AATGTCAAAAAATGATACCCTACCCCAGACCCAAAAGCCGAAAAACCATACCCTATAGGGCGGCACATACCCGTATATCAATATAGGGGAATCCCCCTCCGGGTTGGGAATATGTTCTCTAAGACAGTACTCGTAACCCGGTTTTTTTTCTCAACGTCGGAACTGGCTAAACTAAAACCAATGGCGGCTTACTCGTTTGCAACCTCATTCCCTTTTTTATCCATTAACCTACCAGATAAAGGATTTAATTGATTTAATTATGCTTACTCTTCAGCTTCACAGGCAAAGTAAAATTACTCTCTCAAATTAAATTTCTCAACCGTTTGAAAACCATGTTCTATAGATTCTCATTCACAATCCAACAAATCCTTGAAAATGATTTTCCTTAGTGTCTTTTATTCAAGTCATCAACATGCAAATTTAACATTATATAACGTTCAACAAACTGACTACTCGATCTTGGGCTATCCTATAGAGAGTTAAAGTGGTTCGTGAATATCGTGTCAGACTCGACTCAAATCAAATGCGCGCCAAAAAAGGTGTGCCATTTCCCAGTAAAGATTTCGGCATCATACACCACAGCGACCGAGATTTCATCATCTTTATTCACATGAAAACCACCCAAGGTAATGGCACTGCCTGCGACCATGAGTCCTCTTGCTTCTGATAACGCAACTGTCTGGTTATTTATGCGGATTACGTGACGGCCTGAATAAGTCTTGGAGGTGTAGTAGATTTGAGAGTAGATTGTGTAGAGTCCGCTCAGAGGGACTTTAAGTATCCCTTTAGAGTACATCATTCCGCCGGATATGTGTCCTGTATCGATTTGGTAATCCCAGACATCTAGTGCTGGAAACAACAGCAAATTATCTGTTCAAGGACTATTCATATTTATTGATGGTTTTCAATCATTCCCAAGAGAATTAAATAACAGACACGGCGGCCGTGTTGGAGGATATAACAAAAGAATTCATTGCCAACATGGCCGCCGTGAAAACCATCAATACTAGTTGGCATGGGCTACATTTGATGGGGATCAATTTTTGAATTCGAAAATTATGGAAGGGCCGATTGGCGGGCTATCAAACAAGGGGGGTTATTTTATATTTATTCATGTGCTACACAATACTGGGCCCGGATATACGAAGGCTGGATAGCGCTTTCGACGGATAAATCTTATCCAGTGGATAAGTCGATGCTGTTTCCCAATAAACTTATCCACTGGATAAGGGTTTCCTCGCCGGATAGCGCTATCCAGGCTTCGTACAACCGGGCCCTGGGAGGACAAAAAACAATGTCAATTCGTAAGGCGTGTGGCTATATGTACCAAAAGCTCTGCCTTGTTACCGTTAAAAAAAGCCACGAACGATCCCTTCAGAGGTGTTTTCATAAATATGACGCAACTCCTATTTCAATCGCTTGGATCACTCACCTTTTCCGGCTCTAATTCTTTGGACTTTTCTTGTCTTCCCGTCCAGATGAATCGAGGGTTTGCTGAATGCGCGTTGCAGCTGCACAAGCTGAACATTAAAGTCATTGCAAAGTAAAGTGATTAGTTAGAGAACCGGTCATTATATTTATCGCCTTTAGGCCGTTTTTTTTTTTGTTTTTGTTTTTTTTTTTTTTTGTTTATT